GATTTTTGGCATAAATGAAAAATTGATCATTTTGAGCTATACAATGTATTTTTAGGCTATTGCTAAAAATATACCCAAGCGACTTAAGACTAGTTTTGTGGTCCAGGGTCACATATATATATATATATATATACAGTATATATATTGGTGGGTTGGTGGAGTTTTTATTGCATTGATATTAGTAAAGTTGATTCTCTATTAACGAGTCAAAGTGATTCAAATGTTACAAATTGTTGCCTGATAATGCAAGATGCACTTGGGAAATTATCTTTGTTTGTTTATATGTGTTAACGGTGTCTTGAGATGAATAAGACCTCTTTATCTGGGAAGTTTATTATCATAGGCCACTTTGCATTAATTAAACATATTTGCATATTCTTCATCTGTAACGGAGCACTCAGTTATTTTGAGACATGGTATGTTCATGTTCTGCTTAGAAGATGGGATTTGGCAAATACAGTGGCAGATAGTGTTGGAGAATCGAGAAACGGTTCTTATTCAGCCCTATTAAAAATACAGAAAAAACAATGACATTGGGTTCCGTTAATGCTAGGGATGTAACGATTAACCGCGAGCCGGTTGAAAATCGATTTAAATATGTGACGATTCAACTCGTTTGAGATGCTAAACAAATCGCGATTCAATTAGGGTATATGAATGTATGTCTGAGGGGAACTTACTGTCTTTCGATGCTATTTTTTATTTTCCTCTTGCCTCTGTATAATGCATTAAACTTCATAAGTGCACTGTGCAGCGCTGCTTTGTTTAAAGTGGAAACCAAGGGAACACTTTAAGCGCCACCTGCTGGCAGAGAGTGAATCTGCGTCTCATTCAGCTCGTCTGCTGTTTCTGTTTCATGCAGATATTTTTTATGCATAGTTTCACAAAACTGAAGTCAACCCATTCTGTTTTTGCTTCAAATTTCGAAATTGTACAATGTAATTTAGATCTTGAGATTAATGTGAGATTAAACTGCTTATGTTGCATGTATGCAGCATCTTTGTTTGGATCAGGATTAAAATGCAGTGGTTGCCTTTAATTTTAAACGGAAAGAGCACAGACAAAGCCTTAGTTTGTTTATATGAATAGTTTTCTTTTATTTGTGTTATTTATTTGATTTGGGGCTTGTTTTAAAATTTCAATTTAGGTTTGTTATTTACATTTACATTATATTAAAATGTTGTTATTTAGCAGATGCTTTTATCCAAAGCGACTAACAAATTAGGACAATAGAAGCAATCAAAACCAACCAAAGAGCAGTAATTTACAAATGCTATATTAGTATATTATTATAGTGTTATATTTCAATTTCACAAAGAAAC